TGTATGTGTGCATGCATGTGTTTATGTAATTGAGGTTTCAGTTTAAATCATTTTAGCACTTATTTGTTTGTGTTGTCAGGAGATAATGTCATGATTACACAATTAAAAAAAATACATATTGAAATTTTACGTGAATTAGCAGTGATCTGTAGTTTTCGTGATAATGATACAAATTTAATTTCATGTACTCTTCTCCCTTAGAGTATGAGTCTGAAAAACACTTATTAAATATATTTTTGCCACATAGTGCTTTATATTTTTTAAAGGATTTGAAAGTTTTTGTATGTGGGAGAGGAAATTCAGTCAAATAGAATTGGATTAAGATTACTGTCTGAAGTTTAATTAACAAAAAATGAACAAAAATGTATCTGTAAACACACACACATGCATGCAGAGAGAGAGAGAAAGAAAGAGAGAAAACTCAACTTTGCCTTTTGCAGTCAAACAATTAAGCAAAATGTTTCCTCAATCTGGGCCCTTATTACTATTAACAAGCTCTGTGTGTCTGAATGCTTTTGTGAATTTCCACACAGCACATCTTTTTGTTGAAGGAGGCAAGTTTTAGTTGAGAATATAATAATGGGTTTAAGTGGAGAGATATTAATAGCTACAGTCTCACAAATGTCTGTAGAAAACCCCTTTAAATGTAGTGATATGAGTGTGTGTCTTTTCAAGCAGGTGTTGATAGTCTTAGGTTTTTCTTTTTATTCATAATAAAAAAAATACAGAATGTTTTTGGTGCAGTGTGAGCATGAAAACAAACCAAAATAAAAATGTGTGCCAATACTTATTTTAACCCCACTGTAATGGTCAAAAGTATGTGGACAGCTGACCATCACACCTATATGAGCTTGTTGGACACCCATTCCAAAACTATGGCCATTAATATTAGTATAAAAAAGTTTTTTTTTTTCTTTACGCCTCTTAGTGAAGCCTTTGCTTGTGAGACTATGTGTGCTTGTGTGAACGTGATAACCTGTAAACATTATTTTTTCACTTTTTGTATCCATTCTTTTAATTATGTTTCATTTTTCATTTTCTTGTAATCCTGAAAAACATTTTTCTTATTAAATTTTTAATCAATTTTACTTTTTTAGTTGCCACAGAGTTGAAATCATATAATTGTCTAAAATGTATTCGTACACTATAGCATTAACATTACACTTCACAGGAATTAAGGGGCCTACTCAAAATCCTAAAAAATAGCCCCAGACTGTTATTCCTCCTCCAAGATGGCACTATGCACACTATGCAGTAGGTGTGTTCTCCTGACATCCACCAAATCTAGATTTGTCCATCAGACTATCATGTAGTGAAGCTTAATACATCACTCCAGAGAGCATGTTTCTTCTGCTCCGGAGTCCGATGGTTACATACTTTTAACCAATCTGCCGACGCTTGGCATTGTGCAAAGTGATCTTAGGCCTGTTTACAGCTGCTCAGTCAAGGGAACCCATTCGATGAAGCACATGATACACAGTTCTTGTACTGATGTTGCTTCCAGATGCTTCCAGAGGTTTGGTTCTCTGTAGTGGGTAATGTAACACTTGCTGTGTTCTTCAGCACTCGGCAGTCTTGCTCTGTGAATTTACACAATCTACCTCTTTGTGTCTGAGCTGTTGTTGCTCCTAGATGCTTTCATTTCACAATAATAAAATGTACAGTTGACCGGGGCAAATTTATCAGGACAGAAATTTAATGAACTGGCTTGTAGCAAATGTGACAGTGCCACATTTAAAATCACTGAGCTCTTCAGTATGGCCCACTCTACTGCAAAAGTTTGTCTGTGGAGGTTGCATGTCTATGTGATAAATTTTATATATGGATATATTTGGAGCAATGGGTGTGGGTAAAACACCTGAACTCAGTAATTAGGAGGGTTATCAACATACCTTTGGGCATAAAGAGTTTGTGTGTGTGTGTGTGTGTGTGTGTGTGTGTGTGTGTGTGTGTGTGTGTGTGTGTGCACAACGTTTCTAGCAAAGTTGGGCCATTTTGTAAAATGCATTTCTAAATCTGTGATTTGTTAATTCTCTTTAACTTTTATTTAACTGATAAAAGTATTAAGAAATTACAATATTTTGACTGACTTGATTGTATTTTGTAAATATAAAGAAAGTTTCAATTTGACATCTGCCACACAATCCAAAAATTTAGAACAGAGGCGCAGTAAGAGTGAAAAGTTAATAGAGTATTCAAGTTACATATGCTGCCTTTTCCTGGGAAGTCCATGGTTATTTCAGCAAGACAATGCCAGGCCTCATTCTGCACGTGCTACAGAGACAGAGTATGTGTGCTTGACTGGCCCGTCTGCTGTCTAGATCTGTGTCGTATTGAAAATGTATGGCGTATTATAAAGATTAAAATTAGATACGACCACAGACTGTTGAGCAGCTGAAGTTTTGTATCAAGCAAGAATAGTCAAAAATTCCACTTGCAAAACTGCAACATTTAGTATCTTCAGTTCTCAAATGAAAAAGGTGTTATTAAAAGGAAGAATGATGTGGTATAAATGCCTCTGTCCCAAATATTTTGAGCGTGTTGCAGGCATCAAATTCTGAATTTGTTTATATTTACCAAATATAATTTTGTATTAAAATTAAGTTTCTCAATGAAACACAGGAAATCATTTCTTTGTACTTTTGTCAGTTTAATATAGGTTCAAAAAATGTAACAAATCGCAGATGTGTGTGTGTGTGTGTGTGTGTGTGTGTGTGTGTGTGTGTGTGTGGTGGAGAGCTATACTATACATGACAAATACTATACAGAGTGATGTAATAAGGGTCTTTTCAGGAGGGTTATGACCCAGGAAAAGATTTGCCAGTATTAAGGACTCTTGGCACTCATGGAGTATTACCTTACCTTTTAGCCTATCAGAGATAGATTTTCTCTGTCTGTGCCCACCCTTTCTACTTTTTTCATTTTCCCCTTCATTTTCTGTTTTAAGACAGTGGATATATGCCTCATAGTTATACCAAAATGAGCAAAAACAGTGGCATTTGTCCAAGAGCACATTCTCATACATTTCTGCATTAGACAGCAGGGCTCCAAACCAGTTTGAATGAGGGAATGAAAGCTGGAAACAAACTATGTTTTTCTATGAAAACGAAAACACAATCACTGCATGCAGTTCATTTGAAAGCTCTGTTACTGGTTTATCACATTATTTTTTTCAATCTGTGTATCACATGCCTTAAAAAGAATTTGAACTAGCTTATTACCAATGTCTTATTTGCAAAGTCCTAAATGTGCTTTCATTTAATGTGCCATTATATGTGTGCTGTGCAGTGTTGCAAGTGCTGACTGTTAGCAAGTGGATAGTGTGCCACTGTTTTTGCTCAGCATTTTCTAGGCGGCCTTCAAGTGGTTATGCTGAGCATTAGGCAAAATGCCACTTTATATTGCTCATTTTCCATTCACAGTCCAGTTTATTTATTTTTCATTTATTTCTTTAATTCGCTATCCTTATACCATTGTCATATAACTGAATGCACATATACATGATACATTTATTTCTCAGTTTCTCTTCTTTTAAGAAGATTTCCTTTCTTTTGAAAGATTCACTTCAGTAGCATCCCTGCTTAGAGGATTCTTCCTTCTGTTTTAAAAAAGAGCAGCTACTATTTACACTAAGTGTAAATACAATGGTGTTACTATATACATTTAGTGTAAACAGCATGATTTTATTATTTACAATTAGTACTCATAATAACATCACACTATTTACACTTATGTAATTACATGCTTTTTAACAGAATGTCTTGATTCTGATTCAGCTGTATTAGTCTATATTTCAGCAGTAAAATTATTCAGTTTTTTTTTCAAAGCTGTACTTTTAATTAATTAATTAATTCATGACTAGTTATGGACAGTGCATAATCATTTAGAAATGTGAGAAAACCAAATTCCCCTTTTGCTTTGGCAAGGAATCAAACCCCAGTCTCAAACATGTAGGCTGGTGGTGTTATCTGCTACAGTATAGCTACCAGAATCAGTCAGCTGTCCTAGATAAGACTGTTTTTAATGCTTGATAGCTGTTACTGTTAGACTGAAGTTTACTGAGAGGTGAATGAAATATTGCACTCACTTATTTTCTGGCTAATAACTATTTAACCCTATTCTTCACTGTCCAATTTTCTCTTAAACACAGCTTCTCCCGATACTGCCCTGCTTTTGTTCGTGGAAAATATAAAATGGCAGCAAAAATTTGGTGTGCTATAGTCACATGAGTTAGTGCAAATAGCCAGCCTGTGTGGTTGATACTGGCTTAAAAATCTGAAGTTTTTTGTTACATTACTGAGAAAGACTAAATTTGAGGGTTAGTGAGCTGATACAAATTTATCATAAATATTAAACAAAACTAAAGAGAACTCCGCCTTCAAAATTAGCTACCAAGCTAAGCTTTTCTAGCTTCCCTAGAAAATAGCCAATAGAAGTAGCTACACATGACACTAAGGCCTATGTGCTCAATGCCGAATGTCGGCTAGAGGAGTATAAAGCCCCCTGTGGTGCAATGGACCTGCAATTTCTGGAGTAATGGTAACGATGCACCATCACGTAGGGATGTGTTGGATTGGCGTTTGTGATCAAAAACTAATTGTCAAACATCAGTACCTGACCTCACTACTACAGAGATGATGAGCAAAGGTCTACATATTTCTAGACATGCAATGCACTTTTACTGAGCACTTGTGGGTTTTGTGAGTAGTTTAACCAAACATGTACAACTGGTCTATGAAAGAACTGGCCTGCAATTAAAAGCAGCTTTTCAGTGACCCATACTTTGGTCTCCCCAACCCCATTAAGGTCTGTAAACCCAAGTGAAGCGTAAGCACTGTAATGTTATATTATTTTATAGCAATGCTAATTTATTCTTATAAATCTTAAATAAACAAATAACATCTGTAAACTAGCCTTTCATAGCTGATTCCATGACTACAGTGCTGTTATTTAACTTAATCTCTCTTTACTAATCTTGCACACTCCTCCTCTGTCCTCAGTGGCTGCCATGACAACAGACGAGGCAGAGAGTGTGCAGAAGAAGCAGGTGCGTGAGCAGCAGCAAGAAGAGGAGGAGCCTGGAGATCTGGGCCCTGGCCCTTCTGAGCCGAATCAGGACGGGGGCTCTGGCTCACCACTGCCTCCCGGAGGCTCGGAAGAAGAACAGCATCTGAAACCGCACCAGCGCACCTCAGCTGGCCGTGGCCTCTCACGCATGTTCTCGTCCTTTCTGAAGCGCCACTCACAGTTCTCGGAGGGAGAGGGGGCTGACGTAGAGCGGGTGCAGGAGAAGGAGGGGCGGGACGATCCCAAAGCCCCCATCGCAGACCCTGAACCTGAACTCCGAATCGAGGGAGACGCAGCACTAGACCTGCATTCCATCAGTAGTGCTGAGAACCAGGTGAAAGAGCCCAGTCCTGAGCTACACTAGTTGCACTCATCAGGGTGAAACATACCTGACAGCTTTAATAGGCTTAGTGAGTCTTCAAACTCAGAACTTTTGCCAAGTTAATGTACCCCTCTCCTTCTCTCTGGAACTGGTTGTGGCTCTTTAAAGCAGTGATAGAGGTGCAAGTAAGAGAGGGGTTATTCTCCCAGATTATTAGGTATACCTACCTTGTACCAACACTCACTGACCATTTTATCAAATACACTTGACGTATAAGTGTGTGTTATATGTACAGTGCTGTGCAAAAGTGACTTCTCATAAGTTAAATTTTCAGTTAAAAATTATCTAATAAAAATCTGATAAAAATTAAGATAAGATTAAGAGAGAATGAAATATATGAATGTGTACATGTGTGCAGGGTCTGAAGAAACAAAAAATCTAGCTGTTCTTTCCTGTTTATTACAGTATATGTTCATTGGTTTTAACATTGCAAGGACTGAAGAGCCAAAGTGGCAGTATGGTGCATAAAAGTAAAGAGTGGATAAATTAAATAGTGATAGATTCTATATTATTCTTCAGGGATGCATCAATACTTCATAAAAACGCACCATTACCAACATCTGATACCAGCTGATACCATGTGACGTAAGCCTAGTGTGCACTGCCGCACTAATGAACAAAAGACTTAAGCAGGCTGTGAATGAGGGGTCTGCTCTAGGGGTGTAACAGTACGTGTATTCGTCCCAACCCATCACAGTATGGACATTACAGTTCGGTGCATGCAGTCATATGAAGAATACACGGTAGCCTATGTGCGAAGATTGATGAACGTAATGCGGAACCAAATTTCACAAGTGCACTCGGAAACCTTAAGTTGTAAGCCGTTAGCAAAATAGCCAAAAACATTACCAAAGCAATTGCCATTTTCATTTAATTGGCTATGCTCCCATATGCAGTGGTTGAGGACTTCAGGTATTTATGAAAAGTGCTTGTGCTTCGTTACAACATTCTATCCGTGGTCCCAGCGCTTTACAGTCATTCAAATATAGTGATCGAGCACAAGTTTTCTGCTGCACCTGCTATTGCATTAGTTAGCAAAATACATACTCATACTCTGTCTGAAATATATAGTATTGATAAATCCTTGTTATGCTCAGTATTGGAGCCTTTTATGTAATTTGTTAAATATATTTCCTGACACTGAGAAACTAATGACATGACTGGAAAATATGTAAACAAAAGGTTGGTTTTCGATCCAGTTACTTACAGCAACAATACACGTTAACATGCCACTATCATGTCAGTGTCTTTGCTGTGCTAACTTTATGTATTATCTATCATATATTATGTATTGTGTGGTCCACTGTTCAAATAGTACCTGATCAGCATTGGTCCCATGGTGGTCTTTTTGCACTGGTGAATGGGGTAGAGAGTTTCTGACAAATTGTGCAAAGCATCAGATGGACCACAGTCAGTAATTGTTTGTGTACAAAATGCAGTAGCCATTCTGTGTAGGTATGATGTAGCTTGCCTAATAAACTGTCAACTCAGTGTAGAGTGATACTGGCTCTAGCTACAGTAGCTCAGAGAAATGCCATGCTCATATTGGTGGGTTCAGGTTGATGCTCCCTACACAATCATTTTAAGTTTCCATTTATTATTTAAAAAAAACAACAACAAAAAAAAAACTTTGATAAACATCCCCATGTCCAGGTTCCAAATGAATGCAGGCTGACTCTACTTCTGGATCCCACAAAATCACATAGACAGACACACCAGTGATACTGCATTGAATGTTTTAGACATTTACTCCAGTTTTCTTACAGGCGAGCTATATCTTTTAAGGATGAGTGTAGTCGTCTGATTTTTGATTGTTTAGTATATGAATAAAAAAGTATGCAGGTACTTCATGTTATTTTTTATTGGAATGTTGACTTTAATGCTTGGACACACACACACACAAAAAGATAAAAAAGCCAAAAAGCAGCACCAAATCCAGAGCTTAGAAATATGAATACGTACCAGATTGTAAGTTCTTAAGGCAGGTGATGTGTTAAATGAAAGAAGACGTGTCCAGATAGAGTTAAAAGAAATAGTCATCAATGCATCAGGAGGGTGAACAGCCCACGTAAGCTACATATAGGCTACAAACTGACTAACTGGCCAAGTTTAGAGGGCAGAAACGTTAGTGAGCACCCAGGATTATATCATAGCTTTGGTAGGCAGTAGCAGAGCTTCACTTAAAGCTCCACGGAAAGCTGGTTTGTCTAGAGTGCACACATCTCAACCGAAGTTGTGTTTCAGAGCCTTTGCCAGGCTTAGCTATTAAATTCTGTAAAAGAAGGAAAGCACTTAGAAGTGGCACTAGCATGAGGAGTAAGAGAAACAACCTTCTTCCACTAAAAAGAAAAAGCACAGAATGACAGTACCTTAGTAAATCTCAGATCACTGAAACTCTGTGGGCATGAAATCCAAGATTGGCATCTGTAAAAATAAACCAGAAGCCTGACTAAATAGACTAAAAGATAGAGTTCATCTGGTACATGAATCCGGACAGTTAAACCAGTTACTGTGGCAGATGTGAAAGTATGGTTGCTGTGGTGGCAAAAGTCTCAGAGGTACAGTCATACAAGATAATGTTATTTTATGCAGGACTAGCAGCATTGATATGCTGATGATAGGCCTTAGTATTAACAGTAAATTAGACTGCAGAAACAAATAAAAAGTAATGAATGTATGCTACTATCAAACCACCAGTCCTACGTCCTGCTTTCAGGTGTTGCTATTGCATATCGCGGTGGAAAGAAATGGAAAATCTGCAGTGTTTCTACCAACACTGCAGTGTTTGTACCAGCAGTGTCTGCGTCAGGCATACGACAGTAGAGTGGACATGGACTTAGACTTTGCTCATTTTGACTTATAGATAAATTGCTAAATCAGACACATTAAGAATTTCAGAAGAGTTAAACAGAGATTTTGGGGTGAGCTTTTTCAGGTAGTACCTGAGGCTTCATCATGCAGAGGAGATATGAGCCAAATTCCGTTGCAGTTTAATCAGTTAAATTAAGTAGCTTGCTTGGCAGCCTCACATAAAAATGGACAGCCTTAAACTTGTAACATCTGTCCATTTTATCCTGCACTGTAGCAGAACACATACAGGGACACACAAATAACTAGCAGAAATGTCTTTGTGTGTGTGGAGGCGGGGTATTAAAGAGGTCCCCTTTCACATGCTTGAAAGCTTTTTTTAAGAAGCTGTTCTCTCTGACTAGCATTTACTTCAGGCGTTGCTAACTGCAGTTGACTTGATATCTCACAGCTTTTAATTATTAATTTAGCAAGGCTTTGTTTCGTTCTCCCGTAGTGAGGAGGAATAGAAACTTTTATTGCCAGTTAAATGTGTTGGCTTTGCACACAGGGCACACAGTGTCATCTTGACCACATCTTACTGAGACAACTGCAACTTCACTGGATCGCAGTGTCTTAGCCAACAGAATGTCAAACCAGTTGTCATTTATTTTAAACAGTGTTTCAGATTGTTGTCGTTTGAGCAGTTTCTTTGCAGCCTTCTGCAGGTTTGCATCCAAAATGCTTTTCAATTTCAATTATTGCATTCTGTTTGGAATGTTTCCCTATGCTTTCTGCACACAAAAAAAGTCTACCATTTTTGATATTTTACTAAAAGTGTTTTTCTCTGGAACAAATTTCATTATATTAAACATTTAATGTGGTATCCTCAACAATCTTCAAGTTTACCTATGGTTAATTAAAGTGCTAAATACTTTTCAGGACAGCTGTTTTTAAAGTTCGCATGACACTCTCCCACGTCCCAGCTATTTATTTTAGTTCTTGCTTTGTTGCATTATGCCAAAGTAATTTAAGCTAAATTGTTTTTTTTTTCCTTGTGGTTTTGAATTTGAAAACATTTAATTTTTCTGCTGGATTTTTAGAAACTACCAAAAGCAGCTACAGTTTTTTTATGATGCTAATGCACATATGTTGCATGAATGTTACACTTTTTAGATTTGATATTGATTTGTGTATGTAATATGGAACATTGTCTGTCCAGCAGGTCACAGTGGAGCAGAAAGAGAACATTGAGGGTGACAAAGGGAAAGTGGAGAAAGGAGAAAAAAAAGAGAAGAAGGAGAAGAAAGAAAAGGCAGAGAAAAAGGAAAAAACTGAAAAAAAGGAGAAGACTGAGAAGAAAGAAAAAACTGAGAAAAAAGAAAAGAAGGAGAAGAAGAACAAGTACAAGAGTGAAAAAGAAGAAGGAAAGAAAGAGAAGGAGCGTGAGAAAGAAGAGGAGAAAGAGGCAGAGGAGCCTAAGCCTGAAAAAGAAGCAGTGGCAGCAGAGGCAGAGAAGATAGAGGGAGAAGGAGAGAGAGAAAAGGGGAAAGAGGAGGAGAAGTTCACTGAGGAAGAAGTGAATACTCCTAAAGGTCCACGCCGGCCCAAGATCATGCACTGCAAAGTCACACTACTGGATGACGCTGTGTACGAGTGCGAGCTAGACGTAAGACTGTCGCACACACTCAGACATGCATGCTGCAGCTGTTAATTAGAACCACTACTGGTTTTGATACATTTCTGACACTGTTTTACACTGCCAACCCTCAAAAGAGTAACACTCATCCCTCTAGGGCTGTTTTGTCTAGCATTAATAATGAAATAATGATATTATATGACATAAATAGCTGTCCAGAATTTCCTTTAAATTCTGCTTTAACAAGTGTATTCATCAAGTGGTACTGTAGCATGCTGTGTGCTACCTGTGTGGAAGAAGGATGATGGAGGCAGGGTTGAGGGTTGCAGCATCCATTGTAACTTTATTTTCTCCTAGAAAACACAAACCAAAAGCACAAAATCAAAAAAAGTCCTTGTGAGCTATGCAACTTTTTGGCTCACCCTTCTGCTTCTCATGCTGTTGCTTGCACATGCTACCAAAGCCGAACCAGCGTCACCTGTCTTTCGTTAAGGACAGTGTGAGCACCTGAGCCAACAGGGGAAAGAGACTGCATTGGCCCTGCCCTCGCTCTGTTGTTTGGCCACTTGGATCAAACAAAAAGTCTATTTAAACGGCAAGGCTTTTGTGAGCGTGCAGGGCTTGGGCATATCCTTCCCGGAGAAGACTGTGCCAAGGAGGCAGGGCTTGGGACTCGGGCACCGTCCACCCAGCCCCCACGGTTATTACCCTGTGGTCATCGCGGGCTCTTGTCTGCACTCGGAGTTCAAAACTGGCGCCTGCCACAAACCCCCATTACTCAACTCAGGCCGGCTAGGGGCTCGGGAGTCATGTGCAGGACAGGAGACTAAGAGGCTACTGAGTCAGGAAAGGCTGCGCCAGCCGCAGACACAGGCAGGGCCACACAGATATCGTCAGGTGTAGGCAAGTCTACCTTGGGTGCAGATGGGGCTGCAAGGCAGGGGGGACTAAGAGGGAGAACTCTGGCCCTTCATGTTAGGGAGAGGAGGACTAAGATGGAGAGCTCCGGCCCTTCTAGGAGCAGGCAGGGGAGGACTGAGTGCCCAGGGTGGGAGTGCAGGAGAACAGACCTGGGAATGAGGCAGGGGTTTAAAAAGAGGTGCCCCCTTCATCTGAGAAGCCAGGACAGGAAGGGGAGCACTGGTCCTTCTCGGAGCAGAGAGCGGAGGGCTGAGAGGAAGAGCTCTGGTTCTTCTTGGAGCTGGGACTGGAGAGGTTAGGATGTGTAAACCCTCCAGCCTCTGTTCCGAGAAGGACCGGAGCTTAGAAGGAGAGGTTAGGAGGGGCACGCCAAGGGGTGCTGTTTCACCAGCAGGCTGTTGACCATCCGTCGGTTTGTCATCGGCTGCTCCTCAAGCTATTTCCATTGCTTTTCAGCCTCATGAAACCTTCCTGTCACTCTCGTGGCCATCAGCAAAGCCCAGGGAACGGGCGTGTGGCCCAAATACTTCTGAAAAACATCCCGAACATTTTCAGTCTTATTTAACATTCCAGCATTACTAAAATTGCAAGATGCTGGACTTCATATGTTTTAATCCTAAAGCACTGATCCTTTACATACCATGTTACATATAATATATTGTACATATATATATCTGGCAGAACCCGAATGTGAAATTTGAACCCGATCTGTAGCCAACACATATTTTTGGAAACGAGTACCCAAACCCGACGTGAGCAGTTTGGTCATCAGGCTCTGAGCAATATTTAAAGCTGTAGTCAGAATTGCAACACTGCAAAGGTGCAGTAAAGGTATAAATATATTTTTAGAGTAAGTGAACTGAAAACATTTGATGTGTTTCTGTGCAGAAACATGTCAAAGGCCAGGAGCTGTTTGCAAAAGTGTGTGACCACCTGAACCTGCTGGAGAAGGACTACTATGGGCTTGCCATATGGGAGACACCAACTATTAAGGTACCTGAAATTTACATTTTCTACTAATCCCTTTAGGTACCATTTGACATGTTCAGATCACAGATCAGTTTCCCTGAACCATCTTAGTGTTAAGATAAGAAAAGAACATTTGGTTTAGTTCTTTTAGGCTTTTTCTTTGTTTCCCTTTGCTGCTTCTGCAATAGTGTGAAATGTAACTCTCTCTCTCTCTCGTTCTCTCTTTCTCTCGTTCTCTTTTTTTTTCTCTCTCTCTCTCTCTCTCTCTCGTTCTCTCTTTCTTTCTCTCTCTCCCTCTCTCTCTCTCTCTCTCTCTCTCTCTCTCTCAGACATGGCTTGACTTCACAAAGGAGATTCGACGGCAAGTGCAAGGTTTGCAAGTTAAGAGTGTTACTAATGACTGTTTGTAAATACTGCTATGGATATTATTTGTAATGGTATGTTTTAAAGATAATTTCTCATTTGAGTTTCATGAAGGTTATTATTTCTGTGCTTTAAGGAACCAACTATGATTTCACATTCAATGTGAAATTTTACCCACCTGATCCGGCCCAGCTATCAGAGGACATCACCAGGTAAATTGTTGTTCCTTATTTTCTGTTTTTGTTGTGTTGACTACTTCAGTATAACGATTATCTATCCATTTCTCCAAGTTATTTACTTTTTAATGCTTTTCTCATTTATTTGTTGCTCACTTGCTCTTCTCTCCTCCCTGCTCCTCTCTCACTCTGAGTGTGGCCTACATTTATTAATATAATGGAGAGCCTGTCCCTTGATTTTTGGTTAATTACATCAGGTGATGTCATGTAGAGCATCACACTGGTGGTTCCAAGCAGAGCCCAAACTGTTAATTTATTTCACATATCATTTTCTTTGTTTAATACAAAATTGACAGAATTTCCTCTTTGTACAGAGGTGTATGTTTATGTAGCTGCTAAAATGTCAGGCTTGTTTTATTAAAGGGTTTCTAACAAAATGCCGCATAAGCCTTGCTCATTATAGTCTTTATTTCATTCTGCTGGTCTACAGGTACTACTTGTGTTTGCAGCTACGCAAGGACATCATGAGTAGCCGACTGCCCTGCTCTTTTGTCACCTTAGCCCTGCTGGGCTCATATGTGCTGCAGTCAGAATTAGGGGAGTATGACCCTGAGATCCACGGCACAGATTATGCCAAGGAGCTCAGACTCATCCCTAACCAGACCAAGGAGCTGGAGGACAAAGTAATGGAGCTCCATCGCACATACAAGTAACAATGCTTACTTTTTTCTTATGGTGTGTTAAGACAGTCCTTAAAGTGGCTCATAGAGCCATAAATTTCCAAATTTTTGCTTGAATAGCTAACAAGGTTACAAATACATGTGCAAGTTCCATATTACCTGAATTCACAAGTTATGACACATCAACAAACAATACATTCTCTGATGGGGGTAAAAAAAAAATTGTGTTACCCTCTACCTCAAGTAGCTTTTGCTACTTGGCACATCACCATTGTGAATTTACTTTTTGTTTTTGTTTTTTGGGTGTTTAGTGTTACACTGTGCTCATTTCTAGATCCATGAGTCCAGCTCAAGCTGACATGATGTTTCTGGAGAATGCCAAGAAGCTTTCTATGTATGGAGTGGACTTGCATCAGGCTAAGGTACACAAGAGATGATAAGCACATCCAGAATGTGACTTTCTCTTCTGGCTTCAAACTCTATGGCATCATTTACTTAAGATTACTCGAGAGTTCAGTAATTATCTCTCCTCCCTCCAAAGTTTGCAAATTAAGACTGTTATATTGTAACTGTATATTTTAATGCAATTAAAAACGGGGTATCTGTCCTCTAAGTCACCATTTTGTACGCATAATGCTGTAGTGTTGTTTGTGTGCACAGTTCTAAAATAGCATCAAGCGTGTCTCTGCCTTATCACTCAGATTTAATAGCTGAAACCAGGTCAATCTGTTTGTATCAAGCCATGGATTTAAATAAAATATGGACTTCGTTATTCTCAAAGCTAGGGTTGGACTGCCTCCTAGTGGCGCTTCTTTGTTACTGCAGTGCCACTTTTCATGGAGAGGCACTTTTCATGGAGAGGTTTCCAATTCCATTTATTATTTAACTATTTTGAACAGCTTAGTCACTATAACGGCAAATCAATAAAAGCGATAGTATATTCAAATTGAAAAGTAAAAAAAAAAACTTTTCTGTCTTATTTTATTTCTTAGGATCTGGATGGGGTGGATATAATGTTGGGCGTCTGCTCCAGTGGTCTCATGGTTTATAAAGACAAGCTGAGGATTAACCGTTTTCCTTGGCCAAAAGTGCTCAAAGTCTCCTACAAACGCAGCAGCTTTTTCATCAAAATACGACCCTCTGAGGTACACACATGAAGCACAACAGTAAATTATATTATGTGAATGGTTCTTTCACTACCCTGAAAGTACAGTTCCACTGAAATTTATAATTTTCTTCACAAAATGATTTCTGTGTCACAGCTGGAACATTATGAGAGTGCCATTGGCTTTAAGCTGCCCAATTACAAAGCCTCAAAGAAGCTTTGGAAAGTGTGCGTGGAACACCACACCTTTTTCAGGTGAGACATTCTGTGTTCGCAAGTGTTTTGAGGAATTGCCTTGAATCTTTGGCTGCACATAAACAGTACAGTTTGAAATAGAGTATCATTTGGGAATTTATATGTTAACATTGATGTATGGCAGTTGATCTAGACGTTTTATTTAAAATCAAAAAAAAAAAAAGAGTGGATAACATTTATTGTGCTATATACTTTAGACCAGACAGTAGAAGTGGGGGGTAGGCGGTGCAGTTGCACTGTGGTCGATAGTATAGGGAGGGCCTGTGACCGCTCTCCCAAAAAAAAAAAAATTTAATTGGGCTCCTTCAGACTCTTACTCCATTGGGAGTACAGAGGGATATTCTGGCCAGTCGACTGTACTGGCTAGGCCAGTTGCGCTGAAGATGAACTAAACTAGAGCACAGCTTAGCCATATTCATTAAGATATCAACAAACCCCGTCGCCTACCTCTCTCCCCTTTAATCTCTCATACGATTGGAGGCTTCCTAAAGACTAACCGATTAATCATTTCCATGGTATATATGTAATAAATTGTATTAGATCACAGATGTGTAGTACAAATTGCTGGTGAGCTGTCTTAGCCAGTCAGCTAGAATATAGCCTCATGGTTTGTTGTTCACAACTTTGCAAAATGTATTAGAAGAGGAGAGAAATATATATTATAGTATATTTGGTGTACACTCATACCAATGTTGAACCTCAGCTGCGATCTTGGCGATTTCCTGCTTATTTGACTAAAGACCCTCAGTTTATCAGTTACATTACAAAAGAACTCAACATATTTCTGTCTATTAACAATGCAGAATCCTTCCGCAGATCCCTCTTTGGTATGGTAAACTCTCAGGGTTTATGGTAGAGGGTTAATAATCTCCTTTCTCTCCCAAAAAAAGAGAAGAGATAATCTGGCTCAGATTAACCTGGAGAGGGCAATAGTTGAATTAGAGAATAAATTCATCAAAGCTCCAGGGAAAACCATAGCAAAAAACCTTTCGCAGCACGTGCATCTCTTGACACTTCACTAACACAGAAAGCTGGCACAGCACTTTTGTACACTAGACATAGGTTGAAGCCCAGGTCCAGTTGGGTTCAGCGCAGAGTTTTATAAAACGTTCTTAGACGTTGTTAAAACCCCAATGCTTCGTATGTACCGGGATGCATTTGATAAAGGAATTCTCCCACCATCCCTAAGATTGTCTAATGTAACACTCATCTTGAAAAAGGACAAAAATCTAGAAGATCCAGCTTCATAAAGACCCATTAACCATAATGTCCGTTGATGCCAAAATCTTAGCAAAAATCCTAACTCGCCAACTCGAAGGAATACTGCCCAGTATTATTCACCAGACCAAACTGGGTTTATTAAGGGGCGACACTCCTTCAATAATGTTAGACGCGTACTTAATATCATACAACATGCTCAAATTGTTAAAGAAGATACTATTTTGCTTGGGTTAGACACAGAAAAAGCTTTTGACCGGGTGGAATGGGGATATACAGTGCCTCCAAGTAGTATTGAACCCCCTGCAGATTTTGCAAATTCAACAAGTTGCAAATAAGTTAGAGCCTTCAAACTTTGAACAAGAGTAGCATTTATTAACAGATGCCTAAATATTACAAATAAAAAATATAAGTTGCTCAATTAAATTCTAATACATTTTAAACATAAAAATTAGGATCAATTATTATTCAACCCCTAGGTTTAATATTTTGTGGAATAACCCTTGTTTGCAATTACAGCTATTAATCGTTTTTTATAAGACCTGATCAGGCCGGCACTGGTCTCTGGAGTAATCTTGGCCCACTCTTGCATGCAGATCTTCTCCAAGTTGTCTAGGTTCTTTCGGCATCTCTTGTGGACTTTGATCTTGAGCTCCTTCCACAAGTTTTCAATTGGGTTAAGGTCAGGAGACTGACTAGGCCACTGCAACACCTTGATCTTTTCCCTCTTGAACCAGGCCTTGGTTTTCTTGGCCGTGTGCTTGGGGTCATTGTCCTGTTGGAAGATGAAATGACGACCCATCTTAAGATCCTTGATGGAGGAGCGGAGGTTTTTGGCCAAAATCTCCAGGTAGGCGGTGCTATCCATCTTCCCGTGGATGTGGACCAGATGGCCAGGCCCCTTGTCTGAGAAGCAGCCCCACAGCATGATGCTGCCACCACCATGCTTGACTGTAGGGATGGTATTCTTGGGGTGGTATGCAGTGCCATCCTCTCGCCAAACACCCCGGGTATGGTTGGCACCAAAGACCTCAATCTTGATCTCATTAGACCAGAGAACCTTGAACCAGTCTGCCTCAGAGTCCTCCATGTGATCGATCATGAGCAAACTTTAGACGAAAATTTTCGCCTCAATCCACGGGAATCCAGAATTTTTTCTGGTATTACTGACTCTGGTTTCAAACAATGGGAATACTGAGGAATGTTTTCTATTGGTGGCCTCTGGTGTGGAGATCATCTTATGCCTTTTGATGAATTAAAACAAGAATCAAAATTCCCTCAGCATCACTTTTTCCGGTACATACAAATTAGGAGTTATGTTAATTCAGTTATACCCCAGGAGCATAACTTAAATAAAATAGAAAAACTTACAAGCTCTGGCCGCAAACTTAAACACTTCATTTCTTGGTGTTAAAATACATTAAACAAGGGAAATCAATTAAACACTAGTTCCAGTAGAATCGGATGGGAAATGGACCTTAACATGGCAATCTCAGATGACAAGTGTTAGGGAGTTCTGGCCCGTATTCATTTTGTCTTAGCTCCAACGAGTTCACAGAAAGACAGTTTAAGATTATCCATAGACTGTTTGTCACCCCTATAAATTGAACTAGATCAGATTTATGTGTTAAATGTCAAACAAACAAGGGCATGCTCTCGCATTACATATGGACTTGTACATATATTAATAAGTTCTGGGGTTGGATCTGCTCCGAAATTAAGCGTTTTTGACATGAATCTGTGCCTTTTGACCCCTTAGTCCTAGTTCTAAGAGCGTCATTTAATGGACTGCTGATCAAGATTTACTGATTAGGGGTCTCCTCACTGTTGCAAGAAAATGTATCTTGGTCAGTCGGACTTTGTCTACACAACCTAGTATAACTCAGTGGTATAAAACAATGCATAATATCCTCCCCCTTGAAAGATTAGCTTATTTAGATAATAAAAAGTTTAAGAAGTTTTATCACATTTGGGGCAAGTTCTTCGATTACACTAAACCAGCTATTAGAGATGTGCTACAGTGTTGAAATGGAGTAGTTTATGGTGAATGGGACTGTGTTTTTGTACCTTTGTGTCACCTTTGGTATTAATGTTGATAATATTGATTGCAGTACTATTGATAATCACTGTATTTACTGTATTGCTTTTTTCTTTTTTTAAGTATGTCATTGTACTGCATTATACATAATATTATCACACTCTGTATCTTATCTGTTTGCTATAATAAACAAGACTGGAGGGGGAAAAAAAGAAGAGGAAAGAAAGATGGAGCTGGAAAATAGGAAGGTGTGCTCAGAATAATTAATTCAGCAAGAGAGCATCAGGTCAGTCTTTAGCCTCCTTTATTTACCTGATTACTCTAGGTGGCTTGCTACTGCTGTAGGCTATTTCCCTCCATTAGGACATATCAAATTAATCCACTACTGACCGATAAGACTTCATTGTTGCTTTTCAGGCTCTACCTAGCTAACAGACTGCATTAAAATAGGCATGTTTGGAAATTGCTTACAAGAATAGGGCTATTCTTGTAAGCAAAGGTTCTGGTTCTTCTATTGTAATGTTAGTGATTTTGAAACAAACACTTGCTTCCTAGATAAATAACTTTACATATAATTTTCTCAGATGCCTGAGACTTGCCCAATAGTGTATATAATATTATTGTTCATTTTGTAGCCTACCTAACTATAATGTCCCATTTAAGTATGACTATACCATAATCAGCTTAGTCACATAAACAATCCAGTATGAATAGTGCTCTCTTCCGTATGATAGTGTAACATAAACATTTAATGATACTAGTGGGTGAAGTGGCATGCCCTGAGAGCATAAACAAATTTGAGATGGTACAATAGCAAATAAACACTCAAATTACTTTTTTTCTTATTAATTTGTAGAATTTTTTGTATGGGGGGACCATTAATTGTTTTTGCACTTGGGGGGGGGGTTTAAGATCCTAGTTACACCACTAAAATCAGGGGTACTTGAGATACCAGGGTTAAAATCCCTGAAGTAAAGTTTAATATACTAAATAGTGGGGTGCACAGTATATCACCAGCTGATTATATTGTATGCTGATTATTGGGAGAATTCAATTAAACATCATCAGTCTGATTATTGAAATTAAATTTACATTTACGGCAGTTGGCGGACACTCTTATCCAGAGTAACTTAGAATTTTATTATTTTACAGAGGTCTGTGAAAGTAGTGTTAGGAGTCTTGCCCAAGGACTCTTACTAATATAGCGTGGGGTGCTTGGATAGAACCCCAGTCTGCAGCCTGGAAGGAAGAGGTGTTACCCGCTACACTATACCAGCCACATTACTGCTGAAATTTACAGTCAGTAATTGAGCACCCTGTTTTTAGTTTGCACATGCCATGATGCATGTTTTCATTGACCTTATTGGTAGGAATTTCCCTTTTTTTAACCTCACACAAATGCAATGGATAGCATAGCCTTTAACTAAATCGTCCCACTTACAGGAGACCAGGCTTTGATATCCCTTCCTGTAATCACACCATTGCTATTCCTAATCTTAGTCATCTGCTGTTCTGAATGCCTCTGTAGAAGTCAGCTAAGTAATGCAAAATCTTTGCAAAAAATAGTGAGAACAATTTTTAATCTGATTTACCTGTTATATGGCAAAGTAAAATTAATCAAGGATGCATCTTTAGCGATGTTAACCTGTCCTACACACACATGTAAACTTCTGCAAATTTATAAAAGAATTGGTTATCGATCTTAGTTGAAGCAAAAAGACGATTTTAATTATCGCTTATTGTATTGACCTAGATATTCCATATTTGTTTGTTAATGAGAGCATTAATTAAAAGTGTTTGGCTAATACAAAACTGGATTGTTTTATTTAATACCTAAAAAAACTTTCATAAAAAAAAAAAGATGACTCGGTGAGCTGATAAATATGTTCATCGGACCTATCTGATACATCTGAACTTTCAGGGCTTGGCCAGAGATTCTAATGAACACACTTGATTAAGTACATCCCTCTGCCTGAGACTCTAGCTTAAAGCAGAACTAAACACAGAACTATACACAATAGTACAAGCCAAGGATCGGGATTATTCAGCCCTGCAGATATCATCTCACTGAAGCTGATTTTAAAAAATTATAACAAGCATAAAAACATTTCTTAGTGGATGGTGATGGAAAAATCACTGTGGGCTGGGCTTGCTGGGTTAGCTTTCACTTGCTAGTTTACTTTCATTCACTAGCTTGCCTAGACTATGGGAAGGAGTCTGTTTAAACAGGAACACAATTTTAATAAAAGCTATGTGGGAGGGACAGCCTACATCAGTCTTGTGACAGGTGACGGTGAAACTTACACCAGCTTTACCCAAGATTAGGATCATTCAATTTACATTGTCCCAGTGTAACCAGTATTGTTACTTTTTCATACTCAAGTATGGAAAGTACTCCAGTATTGTTACTAAGTATTGAGTTCCCTATAGAACTGCTGTGGGAGTTTCTAGTACATCCAGTATCTATCAGCATGGAAACTGAAGTTTGTTAGGCATTATTCCTCACTTTTTGATGTAGCTTTGGTCTAAAATAAAGTAATAAACTTCAAAATTCATAAGTATGCTCCGCAGTTCAGGTGCTGTCATTAATGCGACATAACAAAATTGAAAGCAAAAACGGAATTAGTAACTAAATGCTTAATATTTTTACTTGAGTAGAAGTAAAAATATAATACTCAGTGTACAAATCCATCAAAATTTTCCTTGAGTACATGTGCATAAATTTAACTAGTTGCTATCTTCCTGTTGGTATGATGACACAGCAGTTAGTTGATGTGATTAGAAGGTACAGAACAGGATGTAAAGATGTAAGTTCACTCTTGAAGTACCTCTACTGTAAATGAACCAAAGTGGACCCATGAGAAAGGATCCACTATAATTACTGTCTCGTCATTCCCAGGTTGACGTGTACCGAAGCTGCCACCACTCCTAGGAAGTTTTTGGCTCTTGGCTCCAAATTCCGCTACAGTGGACGCACTCAGGCCCAAACCCGCCAGGCCAGCTCCATGATTGACCGTCCTGCACCCCACTTTCAGCGCTCTGCCAGTAAGAGGGCATCACGCAGCTTAGACGGAGGTTTGTTTTCTGCTTTTCACTGCTTATCCTTTTATTTACGTCATGCATAGTGATGCCACATTATGCTAGGCCTCAAGAAAATGATGATTGATTCTCTTTGCTTATTTGTTTCCCTCTCTCTCTCTCTGTCTCTGTCTCTCTCTCTCTCTCTCTCTCTCTCTCTCTCTCTCTCTCTCTCTCTCTGTCTCTCTTTGCTCCCCCCTCCTCTTTTTTTCTCTGTCTCTGCTGTTACAGTCAGCCCACTCAAGGACAGGCATTCTCAGTTATATAACCTGTTGTGAAAACATCTGTTTTCATTTTCACTGAACACTCAAGTTTTCTTTGAAAGCTACAAAATAAAACTAGGAGTCTCACTTTTCTTCATCCACACATTTATAAATCAGAGTCACTTTATTTCGCCAAGAATGTTACACATATAAGGAATTTGTCTTAGGGAGTGCACACATGTATGATATGTAACATACTGTACAGTCCAGACAAGCACACACACTAGCAGATGTTTAACTAAGAGACAAATAAAATAAAAATACAATATGTAGGATAAATAATGTTCACCCGTATCTTGTTGCAGCTCATCCCAACAGTCTTGCGTTAAATACAAAGTACTGTTTCAGTCATGCTGTATATTTTCATCTACATGTGCTTTGGGAATGATTCCTAAACAGAAGCCTTGAAACCATGTGAAAGCACTGAGCTTAAAGATAGACAAACTGTGGGATGCATGGAACATTGCTGAGCGTTAAGTTTTACGATTCTTAGACTGAGCTGTCGTACTGAAACTTGCATGTAAGTTTTGCTGCATGAAACAAAATTTTACTTCTGTTCAGGGCTTAATCTGTGACTGAACAAATTGGATCTGCATGTGGAATAAGTAAAACTTTTTTTAATTTTTCAGTGTCGGTGAAGGAGAAAATATTTAACAGAAAATTACACATAATAAGCCACAATAACAAAATAATATTTTTTCCAGTATTTGATGTGTCCAGCATTACTCCCAGGAGAAATGGGTGAAGTCTGGGCCCTTTAGTGGCCAGTCTGTTGTTCTTAGAACATCAGCTTCTTTTTTGAGTTGCAATTTTTCTTGTGTCTATTTCATTTTCTCAGTAATGGTGTTGCCTTCTCAAAGTAGAAGGAAGGACAGAAACACTTTTTTCAGATGTGACTCAATAGGGCAGGTTGATATTCTCTTGTCTCTCAAAGATGGAAGCTTGAAGTACTATTTATCTGATAATATTTTGGTAGTTTGCCAGGTCTAGGATGAATAACTTGTATTTAATGGTCGTTTTTACTATACTGATTAACATAGTAAAATGTGATGAAGGTAACTAAAACGTAGCATGCTGTGTACCATGGCACAATGCACTTTCAACTCCTGTTTGGGCATGTGTGGTGACAGAAATGTTAATAAAACAACACAGGTGTTCATCACTCGCAAAGTTATCCTAAATCAGAGCACTTATGGAGGAATACTAAACTGCAGGTACATCACAATTTTCTCAAAGAGCAGATCCCAATCTAGTAATGCTATGAAAATATCCAGACAATCATATCTCTCTAGTGTAATTAATAGACACACAGATTTTTTTTCAAAAATTTTTTTTTCCACCATAGACCGACTAATTAACCCCACCTTTCCGCTAGTGCGTCTCATGGTGATTTATCTTATAAAATTTGCGAAGGGTTCACAATTCATTTTCAAAATAAAATAGACTTGATAAGACAGGGTATAGCTCAGCCAGCTGAAATAAGCTCCTATGATGTTCCTAATAAGCCACCTACATCAGTAATGACATCTTTCTCTGTTATCAATTATCAGGAGCTTACATCTGTTATAAACAAACTAAGTTAGTCCACATGTGATCTTGACCTTGTTCCTACTTCATTCTTTAAGATGGTTTTTGGTTGTGTTCACAATGATGTTTTAGCTATTGTAAATTGTTCACTATCAACAGTTGCTTTTCCAGACGCTTTTAAAAATGCCTTGGTGAAACCTCTGCTAAAAAAAGAGTAGCATGGATACTTCCATACTAAATAATTTTAGACCAATTTGATACCTACCTTTTTTAAGTAAAGTCTTAAAAAAAAGTATAGAGATGGCATTGGTTTGTGTTTTGAATGACCTCAGGCTAAGGGCTGATGCACAAAATTCTTCTATTCTGGTTTTCTTAGATCTTGGTGCATCTTGAGTGCTGGGTCGGCCTCTCGGGCACAGTTTTAGAATGGTTTAAATCATATTTAGGTAATAGATGACTAGCTGTCTGTCAGATAGTTCTCTGTCGATGTCGATGTCAAAATTTTCTACAATTAAATCATGAAAAAACTGAAATACTGATCATTGGTACAGAAACTCAGTAGTCAGGGGGCAGTCGTGGGCTGGAGGTTAGGGAACCAGCCCTGTGACCGGAAGGTTGCTTACCGCTCCGGGCAAGTGTGCTCACTGCCCCCTAGTGTGTGTGTTCACTGGTGTGCATGTATGTGGGTGTTTCACTGCACGGATGGGTTAAATGCGGAGGTCTTCCTCAGTTCCACAGTGTGCAAACACAGTTGGCTGATGGTTCTGAATATATAAAATAACTCAGAGAAAAACGCTTTATGAGAAACTTGGTTCTTTAGCTTTATATATCAAACCTTAAGTACAAAACCTGGGTGTGATCTTAGACTCTGAGCTCTGTTTTATCCCACATATAAACGCAGTAGCTTTCTATCATTTGAGAAATATTGCTAAAGTTCATCCTTTTCTATCTCAGACCGACGCAGAGAAACTGGTTCATGCATTTGTTACAAGCAGACTTGATTACTGTGATCAGTATACATCAACAATACATCCCTTACAACTTGTACAAAATGCGGCAGCACGCATTCTGACAAAAACAAAAAAAAGAGAGATCATATCACTCCTGTTTTAAAGAAGTGCATTGGCTACCCGTATCATTCAGAATAGATTTTGAATGACCTAGCACCCACTTACATCACAGAGTGTCTGTCTGTTTATGTTCCAGCACGTGATCTTAGATCTGCAGATACTGGCCTTCTACAAATACCTTCTGTAAAATATAGAAAACATGGAGATGCCTCGTTCAGTTATTATGCTTCTAAACTGTGGAACTCAATTCCACCTTTTATTAGACAGTCAAGCTCATCTCTTTAACTTGGCATTTAATTAAAACTCTAAGTCTAGTGGAATTTATCTTTTAATTTGATCTGTGTCATTTTCTTATAATTCTAAATTAATACTTAGAATTTCTTGTATAACTGTTTTTATCACCTGTCTGTAAAGCACTTTGAGCTTCCACCGGCATGAAAAGTGCTATATAAATAAAAAATATTATTATTATTATTATTATTGTTATTAAATGCACAGTGAGCAAAACCAATGGCCAATTAACTACTCATGCATTAGAAGCTGTTTATTTTTGGTAAATCCATATGTGAGAGAAAGTTTGATGCTTAAGAGCCTAACTAACATACCCATTAGTTGTAAGGCCCAATGTTTTTTGGTACTGAGTCTGATGCGCACACTTTTTTAGGGGTCTGAGCACTTAAGTCTTTCTTGTTGTTCTTCTTCTTCTTCTTCTTCTTCTTCTTTGTCTGCCCTAAAACTGATTAGGGAGAAGACAACTAAGTCATCCAAACAATAAACTTGGAGGGTAGGTGTAGTATCCCTACTCAGACTACTCAGGCAAGTGAAATGACCTCAGTTGATCTTATGGTGGAGTTTTAGAGTGACATTTTCTGTTTTGGCCTATATCTCCTAAACCATGAGGCCTACATTGAAAATTCCTGATTCTGTGTAATCTTTGGTTTATTCCACATAAATGCCTCACAGGATTTATTTATCTTCGCCCCCATATTTTCAAAATGTCACCTACACAATTTTTTCTACTAATCTGATGTTTTTTCAAAATATGTACACAGTACACAAAAATGAATACAGATAATGAATACAGATTGGGATTGCTTTGGCCAATTTTCATGAAACTTATAAATCTATTACTGTACATAATGTTGAAGAAGCCCACCAAGATTGACACCAATTATTCAGTAGGGGCACTATAATATTCAAAAACTGTTTCACAGCAATCATTTGGTCAATTAAGTTGAAACTTTGCATGCTGTATTGTAGAGCTACTTTATAACAGAGACAGTAAGGAATGTCTAAAAGCCTATCAAGTTACATGAGACATGAGGTGGCTGTATTCAACAAGGATAAGGATATGTCACATTAACTTTATGTTGGGTAAAAACAAATTACGTTATGCCATGCTTTACATTGAGACTGAATTTCTTTCATATACAAGTCTTTTAAAATTATTTAAAGTTTTTCTGCAATTATTTAAAGTTTAAAAAATGAGCTTTTTGAACTAGTCTGTGGATTTTAATCAAATTGTCTCAAATTTGGTCGTAAAACAATCTGTGGAGTCCGAAGGTAAGTAATTATCAAAAAAAAAAAACAAAAAAAAAACTGGACTTTAATTCTCACAAAGGCCTGAGGACATCAATAAGTTTTTCTCTGATTGTGACAAACTTTGGATATGATGTTCACCTCTATGTACACTGCCTTTCTGCTACTCGAGCACGCACAATGAGATGGAAATAGCTAAAAGGGGTGCTACACCATAAAGTTTTAAGATTTGGTCCGTACCTCCTAAACCGAGAGGGTTACAGACATAATTTTTGTCTTCTGATTAGTTGACTTATACTATATCAAAACTCATCAAAAACTCAAAGCTGCCCCCTGAAAAAATGTTGATGTGTATTGCATTTTTTGAAAAACCCTATTATTTGTGAACTTGTCTGACTTTTTTCACCTTATCCTCATGAAACTGATATCAAATTATTTGCAAGGTCCTACACCTAAATAGTGTAAAAATATTGACATCTTTACACAGTATGACTCCAATTAAACCCTTCTTGGTGGAGCTTAATTCACAAAAATGGTTACAGATCAGATCACCAAGTTTGATACAAATCATTCTGTAGGGGGTGCTATAACAGCCAAA